AAAGAAAGAAAGAAAGAAAGAAAGAAAGAAAGAAAGAAAGAAAGAAAGAAAGAAAGAAAAGCCTGAAGATGTGAGAGGTAAGGAGAAAAAGAGAAATGTAAGAAGAGCCACAAAAAGAAAAAGTTGTGCTCCTAGAAATGAAACTTCAAGATGCTGGGACTCCCCCTTAGAGCCCTAGGGACTGAGTCAGCACAACTGATAATGTGCTAAGACAAGTCTATTCATTTAGAGCACGGGTTCCCTCCAAGCGCCCTCGACTACTGGATGCCCTTGAGTGCTTTCATTTTAGTCACCATTTGCTCCACTAAGCAGATGTAGTAACCTTCTCTAGAAGAAAGCAGGTGCCCAAGATTGCTTCATGCCTGAAATACAAAATGTACTAATAAAGGAAGTTAAATAGTGAAAGGGGACTGTGAATACAGATCTGAAAAAAAAAAAAAAAACACATTTGAAAATGTTTTTAGGTATTCCGAAAACATCAGATTTGAACCCAGGATTAACATTTCCAACCTATTATTGTGTTTGCTGTTTTACACTTTGTCGTCCTTCAGTTTGCAAGTGTAAGGTAAGTGCCTTTTGAATTTTTTTTGTTTGGGGGATCTTAATAAATGTGTAAGGACTATTTTATACCCTTCAAGTAAAAACATTCAGACAAGTGCTTTTTCATTGACAGCAGATGGATGGGTAAAGAATAGGTGGGGTCTCATTGAGTCATAAGGAAAAATGAAATTTTGTTATTTGGGAGAAGATGGATGAGGCTTCAGATATGGCTAAGTGAAATAAACCAGACTTAGAAAGCAAAAAAACACAGTATATCTCATTCATGGACTCTTAAGTAAGCATGTGTGTGTGTGTGTGTGTGTGTGTGTGTGTGTGTGTGCGCGCGCCCATGCTCTATGTTTTGTAAATAGAGGAAAACTATGAGGTCAAGAGGAAGAAAAGTAATGGGAAGAGGAGGAAGAAAAAGAGTACAATTATGATTAAAAAAAGAAAAAGAAAATATCTAGTGTTTTCTCTGACCTGCAGAATTTATACATATACACTTATATATATAAGTGTATATATATAATATATATAATTATATATATATATAATTCATACAAATACATGTGAATTAATGACATGAAGAAGTGGGACTATTGTGGGAAGGGAGTAGACATGGTAATAAGAATGTCAAGAAAGTACTTAGGGTGAATACCACCAACATAAAATGTCATCAGGAATTCCAGTCTTTTATATACTGATGAAAAACAATAGGTAATTCATCTTTACAAGGTGTGCAGTCTGAGTCTCCTGCAGCAGATGATTTACCTTTCCTAAGTGGAAGAGAATGAATAATGGGGGCTTCCCGGTGGACTCTGAGACCGAAAACAAGGATAGTCACATGAAGAATTCACACAGCCTTCCACTTAACCATAGCCTCCTGGCATCTGGAATCTCAGCTCTCAGAGACCTCAGTGCTTTTGTTTGAATATGAAGACTGAGTTTACAATACAAAAACAAGCCTTTCCTATATACTTTGCCTATTTCATAGATACCCTGAGTGATGACAAAAGCAGAGAAGATTCCAGATATTTGAACAAGTGGAACTTGAAGTTCAATGAAATACTCAGACTCTGTTTGCATGCAAGATATGATAAATAGCTTCCCTTTCTAGTGACTCACCACATTTTAAGAACTCATGAGACAAAAGACTATAAAGGAAGAGTAAGAAAAGGGAGTGATGACTAAAGAGAGGAATTTGATAATTCTAGCAAACTGCCACACCCGAGGACCATCTGTACTTGGGTCCTACTTCTCAGAAGCCCAGAGAGGTTTTCCTCATTCCCCCTTTCTTCTTTCTGTCCAAGTTTTTCTTGAAAACAACACTGACAGAGCAACCCCATATACGCCTGTCATGTGGAGGACATGGAGGACAGATTAAGAAAGGGGAAATTCTTCGTCTTTTGTCAGCTTCAAAGGATCCAAGTTAAGAAACAGAATTAGCATTGCTCACCCACAATCTCTAGAAGGATTAGTGATGCTTCTCATTTTTCTTTAATCACCCCACACTTTATTTAGATTTCTCTCTGATGTCCTTTGAGCATCTCTTGCCCCACCCAAAAGGGGTAAGCACAGCAGTGGAAATCCCCTGAGCAAACTAGCACATGCTGTACCAAAATATTATGTCTTGACTTTGTTCTTTTACATCTTCACAACTAAAGGAAAGAGATACAATCAAAATGATAGTCCACTTAAATGATAAACAAGAGAATTTAAAGAGACATGGCCCATTTCTCATCATTGAGTGACACTCCATAAGGAGTTTATGAGATCTGAGTTGGTGGAAATACATACATATATATTTCCTCTTAAATATTTTACATAGTTTTGAGATTTTATCATTGTAGGTTTCTAGAAAGCACATTTAACTTAATGTGCAAGACACACTGATGTTGTGAATAATGTTTTTATAATGAAGCTTTCAAAACAAAACTAGAAACAAGAGCATAAATGATTACCTGATTTTCCAAATCATCTCTTATTTTGGTTGGGAGAATTTTTAAAGTCTCAAAAAGAGGCCCAAATGAATAGCAGAGATGGAATATGCTTCTTTAGGTTGAATTCTTTTCCTAACATTCCCCATGGTTTGTAGTCAAGAACATGACATTATAACAGGTACAAGTCACATCTGTCTCCAAGATCCCTTCAAACCTGAAGAGGAGTTTTCAGAGAATAGTACAAATAACCCTCTTTCTTATTGTATTAGATCATCTCAATAAGCCATGCCTACAGAAGCTAAGTCATTTGGCTTCCAAGAGCTATTTGTATTCAAACTCTGGAGCTCCCAGGGGCTAATGGTATTTAAACAGTCGGATGCAGTCATTGTTCCTCTATGTTAACTTAGCCATTCTTACAGTCCCATGCAACTAATTCTACCAATGATAGAGATAGAATAGAATTTCATAACACCCTACCCACTCAGTTGTTCTGAACTCCTTCCATTATAATCAGTCTTCCTCTTTTTTTCCAAAGAGAGTCACCATGAATCAAAACAAATACAAACAAACAAAAACATGCTCTATGGTCTGGATCCAAGTTTCTTGATTCCTTCGAAGGCCTGAAAAGGTGCGATGGATCCAATTATGACAGGACTCTTAGCCAGTCAACAGTAATTTTGATAATGAACTTGAAGAAAATAACCCTTACTCTTATCAGAATATCAACCAATCTTAACAAAAACCACCACTACATCTTGAGGCCATATTAGAAACAAATTTTTTGGATTGACATACAAGTCTAGGCACAACCTGAACTCTGATTGCCTCAGACTTCCGTCCTGCATGCCTTGGAGCCCAAGTGTTTATACAGAGCCTATGTTCCTGAGAAGTTGATCACCAGATGAAACTCGGTTTTAAAGATTCCAAGAGTGTAGTTATGTAGTTGGTTAGAGATCAGATGTTCTCTAAAGTCAGATGGTGAAAGTTTTACTATTTTTACATCATGAAATTCCTTCTTTGCCCACTCACCTCTGCTATGGCTGGATGAAAGCAGCTGTAGACAACACACACAAACAAATGTATGACACTGAGCTCCAACACTGAATTAATTACAAAAGAAGGTAAAAGGTGAAATTTTGTCACTGTGTCATAATTTGCAAACGCTTGCCTGTAATGTACTGCATGCCTGTACTGAGTTGTTAAAGATAGACGTGTAGCAGACATGTGCACAGCACAAAGGAGAAAAATGGCCGCTGTTGTACACTGAAAGGTTGAGTAAAATATTTTACTTACTCAAGGTTGAGTGTAAAATATTTTAAATGAAGCTTTAATAATTTGCAAAGTACCAACTCTTCATTTTATGTATTTACTTGTTTGTTTTTAGAAATTGCATATATGTATACAATGTATTTAAACTATAGCTGCCTTCCGCCCTCCCCTATCTACTCCTAGAACACCTACTCTCTTTCCCAACATCAAGCCCTCTATATTCTTAATAACCCACAGGGTCTAATTAATGCTGTTCCCGTGCTCATTGAGTATAGGACTATCCTAGAGCTTGGGCAACCTACCATGGGACACCCTTTCAAAGAAAACTGAGTCGCTCCCCGAGTAGTTATCAAACTGCCAGTAGTTTCTCAGCTAGCAATGGGGCTCCATGAGTCCCCGCCCTATCCACCCTGGTGGCTTATTGGCTTGATCTTGTGCCAGTCTTGTGTAGGCAGCAATGGCTACTATGAAATTATGAGTGAAGAGACCCTATCATTTTTAGAATAGATGATTTCACAGTATTTTTCTCCTGCCCCTGGTTCTTTCAGTCTTTCTTCCTCTCTTCCATGATAGTCTCTGAGCCTTTGAGGTGAGTTATTCATGGCTGGTACTATAAACCTGGCTGAAAAACCCGTGCCTGGAGAGGTCATAGGCAATACGGAAAAACATACTGGTATTGTTTTATTTAAAAGGCCCAGTATCAACTGTCTTCTAAATATTTGTTCTTATACCAGTAGAACAGTGTAGCCTCAACTCTCATCAGAGAAGTTTCTTTCACTCTGCATGGCAATTAATGGAGACTCCCAACTGCTCAGAGAGCAGGAGCTGAGCGTGACCATTTGAGGATTCAGCCCTAAGTGGAGCAATTTTATCCTAGCACCATTTTTCTAAAACAAAAGTCTGCTCCAACAACCACTTGATGAGCAATGTAAATCTGGATTTTTGTCTTGTGATCCTGTTAAAGTGGGCCCTGAGGTCACTTGAACCATCGCTTGAAGTCTACCTCCTTGCTCGAAAGTAAGCAGTTAAGCTTGGGTGCTGCAAGGAATACTGAAATGCTGAAAAATGTCACAGTCTCCGCTTCCTCTACCTCTGCTTGCAGCAGCAATCCTTTGCTCAGACTTCCTGTTTCTGGCACTTGCCTCTTCTGTGATGTGTTCATAGTTCCCTATCTGTGGTCAAGTAGGCACACAGCTAGGTTTGGTTCCCCCTCTCTCTCTCATTCACTTGCACACACAACTGTGCTTCTCCTCTCCTCTCTCTCTCTCTCTCTCTCTCTCTCTCTCTCTCTCTCAGAAGGATGGTTCTGGGTATAGCTTTTGCTATGGTTTTCTGTTTACTTCAAGCTGTTTCTGGAGAAAGTGGCAATGCACAGGACGGTGAGTCATTTCTAACTTGTTTTTTGAAGGATTTCAGATTGTCTCTTGCATTTATGGTCAGGTTACTCGGTTCTCTAACAGGCTGGAGCTGGGCAGCAAGAACTTAGCACCTTTGGTTATTTTGTGGGTATTAATCCCCAGGACAGAGCAAATGAGGACAACACTACAGATGGCTTGTAACTCACAAGAACTGTTGAGGAGCAATGCGTTTCATTCAAAATCTGGCGCGTAAATAGGGATGGATACTGGTTGTCTCAGAAAAGAACCTCATGTCAATTCTCTGTCTGTGCTTGTTGGAGAATCTCTTCCAAAACTGTGCCAGCCAGAAAGTAGAGCCATCTTTGCTTTGTTTAACTATTTATAGAGTTCTAAAACTGTAAACATCCATGATAAACTAATAGCCAGAAGCAATAGGTTTGTGTATTCACCAGAACTATATTTCTAGTGTCTAGAACATAGGAGTTACTTGATAATGTATTACTTCAAAATGCTTTAACTTCAACAGATTGATGTGAGATTACTAATGAATAATTCAGAAGAGTGCAAAGTAAAGTGTCTTATTTGGAATACACAGGACTGCTTTTATATTCAGCAAATCCATCATATGGTCATCATAATTCTCTGTGGAATGCATAAAATACTTAGAGCCTGGCTCCTTAAAAATATGAATTCTAATTACAAAACTGTGCTCGGAAGTCTCTGGCAACCACAAGAGCCACATGGGATATGACCCTCCAATTTGCTTCTACAAATTAATCTGTTTTTATACGCACACACCATAAAAGGAGATACATATCTATATATGTATTCATATATATAACATATAGATATATATATTCTGCCTCTGCCTCCTGAGTGCCAGGATTAAGGCAGGTACCATCATGCCTGGCCTATATGTGCATTTCAAAATTGGGTGTGGTAACACATACCTGTAACTCTGAAGTATGGGAGGCTGAGACAAAAAGATCATGAGTTCCAGGCCAGCCTAAGCTACATAGTAAAATCTTGTCTCAAAATACACATGTATTTTTTTTTACAATATCAATGCACATCAACCTAATGACTCAGCTGAGCTCTTTTTAGTCAAGTTCCCTTAGTCATGCTTTCTAAGCTTAAATATTTGTGTCACTTTACTTAGTGATTACTAAGTATGGAAAACCTTTGCATTTTCTTATTAAGAAATCTGTCAAAAGAGTAGCATTTTTCAGCATGACTGAGCATGAGTCACTTCATGAAGGGGAGACATTATCTCATGTTAACTATGTGCAAACACATGGCAAGAAGCCTGAGAACTTTCCTGCTGCTTGCTAATACTTCACCGCTATTTCTTCTTGTTGCCCATACTATTTCTTTGACAACAACCACAACAACAACAACAAAAAAAGTGAACATTGTTGCTGAAAGCTGGACTTTCACTTCAGCTTTTTAAAGTTTGGACATTTTTCAAATAGGTAAGCCTGGGCACAGTCGCATAACCAAATCAAAACACTTCCGACTTTGTGCCTAAAGGGATTCATAAGCAGTCAGCGATTGTTGGTCAAAAAATAAAGTTAGTCTTCTAATAACTGCAAGGATGACCAAAACAAATGACAGGAAAAAAAATTCAAAAGCCCAAATACTTCAAGCTCTTCATCAAGCAATCATTCTAAATGAGAAGTCTTCTAAATGACAGTGCCTTTCTTATAATATGTATTCCAAATGTTTTACATTTCTATTCATATAATTTTTATTTAATGATTAGATATTAACTTAAATATTAATGATACTAACTACTGAACACTTAATACATTAATTCATTACTCCACATAATGTCAAAACTGCAGTAAGAAGAGAAGCTTCCATTGATATGCTTTAATTTTTTTCAAAAGAGCTCCAGAGGTTGCATGCCTATTTGCAGAATTATAATTCACATCTTCACTTTCATACTGATTTCTCAAAGACTCTCAAAGAGCTCTCACCCATTCTGAGAACGTAACTGTGAACTGAGTGAAATCTCTGTGTCCAGTGACTCCTATAATGTGCACATAAGCATGAGAATGTGAGTTTTGGGTGTCTGCTTATGCAGGAAGAGGGCACAGCTAGAAAGTTAGAATAGAGAGGATTTACACACACATCCACTGTGTACACTATTCTTAACTAAGAGTTCCACAGCTCACATCAGGTAGAATATCCTCCCACAATGGCATGTGATTTTCCCAGTTTTCACAGAAATGTTTTCGGTTACAGAGCAATTGGGCCCCATAACAACACCTGTTACAGGACCAATGAATTCGTCATTCAACACAGCTGCTCTGATTGTGGAAAAAGTTGCATGATCAGCTATTTGCATATTGTGTGAGATAACTTGAGACGTACTTTGCTAGACTGGGTAGTGGGAGTCTGTGAAAATTGTCTCATCAGCTATATATATACATATATATATGTATATATATATTATATGATTGTATATAGATGTGTGTATATATATTTAGTGTGTATATATACATATGTATATATGTATATATATGCACGCACACACACACACACACAAAATACCTAATCATAGGCTCTACAACTCAACTTAGGAAATCAAATAGTATCTTTGACAAATTGCAGTTTCCAAAAGTGACAACATATGAAAATTTTCACTTCCCACTTTCTTCTAGAATATTACTAATATGCATAGAATGCAGTAGCTAGGAAAAAAAAAAAACCTCTAATCATGTAGGCACAGACATTAGCATCCTCAGAGTTTACTATTTTGTGGTTATAGTTATCCCTGCAGGTCACTTAAGAGGCCTTTAATTGTCACACAATGGAGGCATCAATATTACCGTGAATCGTGATACCCTATTAGAGGACAATAAGCAACCCCATAAAAATGTGAACTTGGAGCTGAAATAGTTATTATCATCTTTCATTTGAAAAAAAAATTTGGAAAGGAACAAATAAAGACCAGTAGTGAAAACCAAGGTTGGATTAGGTGGCAAATGAATGAAATACAAGATCTCTTATTTGAAATGTGAACACTTTAGTCTAAAAAAGATAATTTCAACATTTTAGAGTTCTCACTGGGGATTTATTCATTAACAGTTAGCACCTTCTATATATGCCAGATCACCTGGCCAAAGTGAAAAATACAACCTCAAATAAATACCTTCTAAATACAGTTTTAAAGAAATTCTGATATAAACAAGGAAAGCGGTTTGTCTACAGCCCTTCTAATTTTCCAGCATACTAATCCAACAGTAGAACTGTTAGATGCACCTGGATTTCTGGTGTGTGTGTGTTTGTGTGTGTGTGTGGGTGTGTGTGTGTGTGTGTGTGTACATGCTACAGTGTGCATATGTACGCGCACATTGAAATTTCTCACCGTCTCTGTCCTTGGAATCTTTTTCTTTAAACTTATAGAATCCATCCTCATGTGTGCCACATAGCTGACATTTTATTAAAGGGTATCAGAGTTTCAACTGATGCATTCATTTCCTCCTGAACAGCTGTGCTTTATGCTTCCCAGGAGACCTAGAAGATGCAGAACCTGATTACTCCTTCCAGTGCTACAGCCAGTTGGAAGTGGAGGGAGAATTGCACTTACTGAAATGTGCTTTTGATGACCCAGACATCAACAGCACTGATCTGGAATTTGAAATATGGTGAGGAAGATGGTTTCCTTAGTACTTAGCAATCCATCCCCTGTCTGTCTTTATCTGTGTTCCTTTCAACACCTACAAAGGGAGTATCAAATGCTAAGATTTACTGGATTCTCACAACTACCTGAAATACTTTGTCCATTGCCAGAAGTTAAAGCGAAACCACTCTCACTTCATTTCTTAGCTCTCAAGGAAACATACAAATGATGTTTTGGATCTTGGGGATTCTGCATCCCTCCACACTCACAGTAATTTAAATAAAAGCTGCTTCTCGTAGACCATTCCCGTAAGGCAGAGTACTATTTTCAGATTCCATTACGCAGTGGAATTGCCTAGCTTCCAGTCTCAATGCCAATGCTTAATAACTTTTTAATTTACAGCAAGTTATGTAACTTATATATTTCTCAGTTCCTTCATCTAAAAAAGTAAGAGACTAAATTTCACGGGAAGGTTATGGTGATTAAACAATGTAATATATGTAAAGAGCTCAAATAAACACCTAATGATTAATTAGAAATGGAGAAAAGACATTAAATGATAATTGTATGGATATATATATTTAAAACACCCACCACCTTTAAACATTTTTGTTCCAGACAATCTAGTCAATGGAAATTTTCCAATAATCCATAGGACAAAGTTGATTCTTGGTTTCATATGGCCTTAAAGAAAAGCAAAGTACAAAGAAAACTTTGGTCTGAAAGGTGGTAAAGAATCTTCTTCCCCAACCAGTCATTGCTTCTTGTCAAGGGTTATTATCTCTGATGACTTGAAAAAAATACTCTGATATGAGATTCTGACTTGTGGTTATTTCCATATTCATATCAGATGAACTCATTTTTTTGTAAGTTTCCGTATGAGGAAAGTATTTCAAGATCTGCAGTAGTCAAAGAAGGCTTCTTAAGTTTCATGAGCACTAAAGCAGGCCTTTGCCACCCACAACCCAGATAAGCTATAGATTCTGAATTTCCTGAATTTATAGCTCTTTCCTGAACCTGTGCACAACTTTTTCCTGAAGTCATTGCACGAACAACATGTTGGAGTTTAACATCACAGAATAACCTCATTCTGTCTCTGTTATCGTACTTTTACAACACACTTTCTTTCTTTCTTTCTTTTTGTTAAAATGGAAATCTTTATTTTTGTTTTTACTAGGCAATTTTTTAAATTTTATTTTATTTATTAATTACACTTTATTCACTCTGTATCACCCCATAAGCCCCTCCCTCCTCCCCTCCCAATCCCAACCTCCCTCCCCCTTCTTCATGAATGCCCCTCCCCAAGTCCACTGATAGGGGAGGTCCTCCTCTCCTTCTTTCTGATCTTAGTCTATCAGATCTCATCAGGAGTGGCTGCATTGTCATCTTCTGTGGCCTGGTAAGGCTGTTCCCCCCTCAGGGGGAAGTAATCAAAGAACAGGCCAATCAGATTATGTCAAATGTAGTCCCTCTCCCCATTACTATGTAACCCACCTGGATACTAAACTGCCATGGGCTACATCTGTGCAGGGGTTCTAGGTTATCTCCATGCCTGGCACTTGGTTGGAGTGTGAGTCTCTGGGAAGACCCCTCTGTTCAAATTTTCTGGTTCTGTTGGTCTCCTTGTGGAGTTCCTGTCCTCTCCAGATCTTACTATTTCCCACTTTTTACATAAGATTCCACACACACTTTCTATGGAGGGCGGAAACATAAACATCCAGGGTCTTAGACACGCCTCGTCAGTAAATTCTTGCTCTGCAAGCCACAGACCTGTTTTGGCATTTCCAGAACCTAGGTAAAAGCTGAGTGTGGTATCTAATCCCACCCTGGAGCTACGTTGGGCATGGGAATGCTGTGAAGAGAGATGGATTCCTGAGCCCTACTGGCTTTTCAAGCTAGCACCGTCATTGAGCTTCAGATCTCAAAAAGTATAGCATGGAGAAAAATAGGAAGACCCAAGACACTGACCTCTGACCTCCACATGTGTGTGCATACATGAACACCTACATACATATATACATGTGCACGCACACACACACACACACACACACACATACACATCACACCCAAAACAAATATATATATATAAAGATGTCCAGTGTCATTCTTGCAGCTTGATAAATCAGTTAAGCAACTCATCTACACAATATTCTCAGTATTTAGGGGAAAAAGACACAGAGGTTTGACTTTAGGTTTTGCAACCGGGTTCTTCAATACTGTGGTTTCACCTGACCAAGTCCTGGCTGACCTGTTTGTCCACTCTCATTCACATATTTAACCATGTTCTTGTCCACTGTAACAAACTTCCCTTTAGTATGAATTTTTCTGACATATATTCATCTGTCCAGAACATCACTTTATGTTTTTTAATTGGACAGATATTTCTGTTTGGAAAAGACTGCTTTAACATATGTGTTAAGGTGTACAAAGTGGGAAACAGAATGTTGACCTCAAATAGATAAAAACACTTCGAGGAACTAACATATCCACAAGGCATCTACACTTTAAGTAGGATCTTCACGTACCTTCTAGGTTGAGAAGATGCTAACTGGAGAGTTCTGAATTTGTATGGTTCTTTTTCAAAATGGAAACTAGATTTTGTAGAACATTTGTTTGCTTTTAGTATAAATGTATGACGTAGAAGTTGCATTTCTCTGAAGTAGTTGCACAGATGAGCATTGGTAGATGCTAGGTCCTTTCTCTCAGAAAGGGGTACATTTAACATCTGACCTACATCTGGCCACTAGTCTCTCTGAACAATAAATGGAGAATCTATCTATCTATCTATCTATCTATCTATCTATCTATCTATCTATCTATCTATCCATCTTTCAGTTAATTGATCTCTAGGGTGGGATAAGATTAACAAAGATCACAGACATGAATTACTAGTATACCAATAGACTAAGTCACAGTGACAGATACAATTATTATATAAGTGTGAATATTCATCATGAGTTCTGGTCCTGTATGGATTAGTGAGAGAAGGGTAAAGAATGTGGAAAGGTCCAGCAGATTACCTGGGGGAGAGTCCTACCTTTTTTTCACTGAAATTCTAGTCATATTTCAGATGCATTGAACAACAAAACAGAAGCTCTGGAGATACCAGAAAGTTGCTGCAGGTTCAAGACCATTAACTGAATACTTTACTCCTTTGTTACTTAGGCTGTTTTAAGTATTGTCATGAAGTGCATTAGCCTGTTTTCCCTACACTGCATGGGTACCCCAACCTCAGAAACTGCTATCGCCCCACATTGCTCTCACATCTGCTCTAATTCAGCAAAGCACCATAGTGTTTCCGTTGGAAGGTTATCGGCGCCACACTTCTGAGGCCGTCACTCATTTCACACTGTTCCCTTGAATTTAGTTTCCTTTGCTGCTTCTGAACTTTTACCTTTTTCTGAGTGATAAATCTCAGAATGGACATTGCATACATGCGCACAACCTTTTAGGGTGTGGGCTTTTGAACAACTGCCTATTCAGGTACACAGTAGTTCACAAAAAAACTAAAATTTGGCAGGGGAAAATTTTAAGGATTTTCTTGCAATTAATAAATATGTATCAAGAAATAAACTTACAATTTCTTCACCTATCTCATTTTAATAATTGCATCAGTTTTTGATCCAGGTCTAGGTTTGCCAACGCCATGCAGAAGCCTCTGTCTTCCTGCACAGAGGCCAGGAGCCATCTCATAAGATTAGTTTTTCGTAGCATATTCATTCAATGACTTTTAACTCTTTAGTTATAAGGATGAGGTAGATGATCATCATCTACAACAAAACTCCTAAACATGTGACTTTGTAAAAGAAATCAAATATGAGTGAATAGTAGTGTTATTTATAATGAGTTCTGGGCTAGCCAGGGCTACATAGAAAGGTCCTATCTCAAACAATAAAACAAAACAAAGTCTCTATGCAAAGCGTTTAGTTCACTTGTTAAATATAAGTAGTTTCTATATGTAAATCTTTTCAACCAGTTTAACATAGTAATTTCTATTAAAGCCTTAAAGCATTTCCTTAAATCCTATTTGAATCAACATTTCTTATAGTTCTAATATTTTCCATTTCTCCACAAGAAACACCAATTACTTTATTACCTAAACAAAGTATAAAGTTCTCAATGATCAATTCTAAAATCTACATAGATCTTTCTCCTAATTTCCACAAGCATGCTTTCACTTTTCCAAACTCATTTGCATATAGTTGTAATAGAATAGAAAATATGTTATTTGAACTCATTCTCTCTTTCTCCTCAGCATTAGCTCACCAATTTATATACCTGTAGACACTAAAGTTGAATGTATACAACTAAAATGTGCAGACGATTTTATTTTATTGTATATAGAAACTCCTACCTGAATAAAGACTTGTAACTTTTTGTTTCTACAGTGGGGCTCTTCTAAACAATGATTGCCTGACTCTTGATAAGCTGCAAGAGACATATTTTATCAAAACAGCAGAATTTGTAATGATTGGTGACAGCAATATATGTGTGAAGCTTGGAAAAAGAAAATTAACTTGCAAAAATATAAACATAGTCACAATAGGTAAGAAGTTGTGTATAAAGGTATGGTTTCCATGGTTTGGACAGGTGCAGAAACATGTCTTTACTTTCAGGTTGTTAAAAATAAGAAAATCATGAAAACGCTTTGTTATAAACAATGCCAACTTTACTAACTCATTTTTAATAAATGAAAATTTGACCTTTGAATCATGAATTCCCACTGTGAGAAAATATGCTGAGAGTATTGAAACTCAGCTATGAAAGAGGGTGTTTGTCTACTGTATGAGGAATATAACTTAAACAGGACTATGTATGACCTTCCAATACAGCTTTTCTTTTTTGCATTCACTTCTCCTGAAGAACTTGTAGTCTTTTCTCCTTATGCATATAACATTCCAAATATTTGTAACTAAATTAACAAATCATTTATAACTAAATACATTTTCCATGTTTGTCAAAGTTCTACATGTAAAAGAGAACTTATAGGTGGGATATAAATGGATGAATAAGTAGATAAATGATAAATAGATGATATGTGATAGATAGATGATAGATAGATAGATAGATAGATAGATAGATAGATAGATAGATAGATAGACGGATAGATAGATAGATAGACGGATAGATAGATAGATAGATAGATAGATAGATAGATAGATAGACAGAC